TTTTGATTATGAGCAACAATATTAAGAATGTCCTTCTAGATTAAAGATCCAAACTGTTGTGATGGTATCCAACTGCCACCTTTCAATCCATGCCTGTTGCTCACCACTTTTTTCCACATAGCTGTTTGGGTATATCTTCAATTGTTAAAATAATTTTAATTTGGTTTGATTTAGGTATAATATAATTTATATATTATATCTAACTTTTGAAGACCTTTTGGTTGTTAGTGGAATCGGATTTCGATCCTATGGACGTACCTCAGATTGAGGGAACCACGTTAAAATTCTTGTGTTGCTTTTGATTTAATTTTTCCGCACTAGTTTTTATTCCCATAAATTGATTTACTTGTGGTGAATCATATATTTTCCCTAACAACAGGTATTAGAGCTTACGGTTTATTTGGGTCTATTTATTTGTGTAAATTAATTGAGAGAAATGTGGGTCGTATGTCTTACTTCAATGGAAGCAATTAGGTAACTTGGAAAACTAAAATAGAAGACCTATTATGTTGTAAAGGTTTGTATAGACCCATTGAGGGTGATTGTGGCAAACCCAAGGGTATGCAAGATGATAAGTGAAAGAGACTTAATCAAAAAGCCGTTGGTGTTATCTGTCAATGGATTGATGACAGTGTGTTTTATCATGTTGCTACTGAAACTTCAGCGCATGATTTATGAAAAAAATTAGAAGGCCTTCATAATAAGAAATCAGCCACAAATAAAGCTTTTTTGTTTCGTAAGTTGGTTAATTTAAAATATAAAGAGGGCAGCCCTAATCCGAAACATTTGAATGAAATAAAGAGTATTGTTAACCAACTTGCTTCTATGAAAATTATTTTCGATGATGAGTTACAGGTTTTGATGCTACTTAGTTCTTTGCTCGAAAGTTGGGAGACTTTGGTTGTGACGGTTAGTAATTCGGTACCTGATGGAGTTGTCACAATGAGCTAAGTCACTTAGTTGCTTGTTGAATGAAGAAACTAGAAAAAAATCAGCGGGTTCCTCTCATTCGGAAACATTTGTTGTGAGAGGTCGAAGCAAAACAAGGGAGAGGATTAAGACTTCTCATGGTCGTGATCAAAGCCGTGACAAATCAAGAGATGATTCTTTTTTAAAGAAAGACCATGAGTGCTATTATTTCCATGAGAAAGGGCATATGAAGCGAGAATGCCGAAAACTTAAGAATAAGGAGAAAAGGTGTGACAAAAGTGTGGATAAGAAACAAGAAGACACAACGGCGGTTACTACCAATGGTGATCTCATGGTCGTTTGTGAAGATAATTGCATCAATTTTGTGGGCCAAGAGAGCAATTGGGTGATTGATTCCGGTGCTTCTTTTCATGTAACTTATCGAGTTGATTTCTTCACTACTTACACCAAAGGAGATTATGGTTCTGTTCGAATGGGTAATGAAGGTTTGTCCAAGATTATTGGCATGGGTGATGTTTGATTGGAAACATATTTGGGCTACAAGTTGTTGCCTAAAGATGTAAGGCATGTTCTTGACATTCGCCTCAATTTGATCTCTACCGATAAGCTAGATGATGAAGGCTTCAACAACAAATTTGGTGATGGAATATGAAAACTTACAAAGAGTTCTTTGGTGGTGGCTAAATGCAAGAAGACTTATACACTTTATTCAATGTAAGGAAAAATTTATAAAGGTGTTGTCAATGTACTTGAAGATGATACTTCTACCGAATTGTGGCACAAGCGGCTTGGCCATATGAGTGAAAAGGAGCTACAAGTTTTGTTCAAGAAAGAGCTTCTACCCGGTTTGAAAGGTACACATCTCAAAACTTGTGTTCATTGTTTGGCGGGTAAATAACATAGAGTTTCTTTTCATAAAAATGTTGCATCTAGAAAAGAAAATGTTTTTGAGTTGATTCATTCGGATGTTTGTGGTCCTTTGAAAGTTAGAATATATAGTGGTACACTTTATTTTGTTACTTTCATTGATGATTATTCAAGGAAAGTTTGGGCTTTTATACTAAAAACTAAATATCAAGTTCTAGAAGTATTTAAGCATTTTCAGGCCATGGTTGAAAGAGAAACATGGCAGAAATTGAAGTGCATCCGATCAGACAATGGTGGTGAATACATTGGGCCATTTGATGAGTATTGTCGCAACCAAGGTATTCGGCATCAAAAGACAGTTAAGAAAACTCCTCAATAAAATGGCATTGCCGAGAGGATGAACCGCACCATTATGGAAAAAACAAGGTGTCTACTTTCGCATGCTAAATTGCTAAGATCCTTTTGGGGTGAGGCAATGAGGACAGCGGTTGACGTGATCAATTTGTCTCTTTCCTATCCTTTGAATGGTGATGTTCCTGAAAGAGTTTGGACCGACAAAGATGTGTCTTATGAGCACTTGAGAGTGTTTGGTTGCCGAGCTTTTGTTCAGAGTGTTTGGTTGTCGAGCTTTTGTTCACATTCCAAAGGATGAGAGGTCCAAGCTTGATAGTAAGTCAAGACAATGTATTTTTCTTGGCTATGGGCGTGATGAATTCAGGTATAGATTGTGGGATCCGGTCGAAAAGAAAGTCATTCGAAGCCGTGATATTATATTTCTTGAAAACCAAACAATTGAAGATTTTGGCAAAGGTGATCAACCGGAGCCAAAAACTAGTGATCTCATTGACATGAATCCATCTCATTCATCTTCAGTTGATGATGGAAATGGGGGAGATGTGCAGCCACCTATTGAAGATGCAAAGGATGATACTAATCCTAATGAACTTGAGCCAGAAATTGAGAAAGAGCATCCAACTCAAGAACCACCACCACAACTTGAGTTGAGGAAATCTACAAGGGACCGGCAACCTTCGAAAAAGTATCCTCCCAACGAATTTGGGTTGATTTCTGATCAAGGGGAGCCCAAGAGCTACCAAGAAGCAATTGAGCATACAAAGAAAGATAATTGGAAAAAGGCCGTAGAAGAGAAGATGAATTCTTTACTTGAAAATCGCACTTATGATTTAGTGAAGTTGCCTAAGGGAAGAAAAATTTTGAAAAATAAGTGGGTTTTCAAATTGAAGAATGATAGTAAGAATCTGAGGTACAAAGCACGTCTTGTTGTGAAAGGCTTTGGGCAAAAGAAAGGTATTGACTTCGATAAGATTTTCTCACCGGTTGTGAAGATGTTTTCTATCCGGGTTGTACTTGGCATGGCTGCAAGTATGAACCTTGAAGTTGAGCAACTTGATGTGAAGACCGCATTTCTTCATGGTGATCTTGAAGAAGAAATTTACATGGAAAAAGAGAAATTTGTTTGCAAATTGAAGAAAAGTTTGTATGGTCTCAAGCAAACTCCGCGGCAATGGTACAAAAAATTTGATTCTTTCATGATGAATAATGGTTTTTCTAAAATCACTTCGGACTATTATGTGTTTGTGAAAATTTTTTCGGATGACAAATTTATTATTCTTTTGCTTTATGTTGATGATATGTTAATTGTGAGTCAAGATTCTACCATGATTAACAGTTTGAAATTGGAGTTGAGCAAGTCTTTTGCTATGAAAGATTTGGGACTGGCAAAGCAAATACTTGGTATGAAAATTGTTCGTGATCGCAAAGAGGGGCTGATTTGGTTGTCTTAAGAAAGCTACATTGAGAAAGTTCTTGAAATGTTCAACATGGATAAAGCAAAACCGGTTGGTTGTCCACTTGTGGGTCACTTTAAGTTTAGTTCGAATCAATGTCCTACAAGTGAAAAAGACAAAGAAAAGATGTTGAAAATACTTTATGCTTCAGCAATTGGTTCTTTGATGTACGTCATGGTTTGTACAAGGCCGGATATTGCTCACACCGTTAGCGTGGTGAGTTGGTTTCTCTTTAATCCGAGTAAAGAACATTGGGCAGCGGTAAAATGGATTCTAAGGTATCTTCGAGGGACTTTGAAGGTGTGTTTGTGTTTTGGGGATAGTAAGCCGATACTTGATGGGTTCACAGATTCTGACATGGCCGGTGATGTTGATTTTAGGAAATCTATTTCAGGGTATTTGATGACTTTTGTAAGGGGAGCTGTGGCATGGCAATCTAAATTACAAAAATGTGTTACTCTCTCAACTACCGAAACTGAATTTATTGCTATTACGGAAGCTTGCAAAGAAAAGTTATGGTTGAAGAAATTTTTGCAAGAGTTGGGTTTGAAGTAAGAAAGGTATGTGCTTTATTGTAATAGTCAAAGTGCTATTTACTTAAGTAAAAATTCTACTTTTCATTCGAGATTGAAACACATTGATGTGGGATACCATTAGATTCGTGATGTATTAGATTCGAAATTGTTGCAACTCGAAAAGGTTCACACAGATGATAATATTTCAGATATGTTGCCAAAGACTTTGTTGAGGGACAAACATTTGAAGTGTCGAATTTTGGCGAGTATGGTTGATGTCTCCACCTAAGTCGATAGGGAGAGAATTGTTAGGGTATATTTCCTTATGGGAGTTTGAGACCCAATTGGTTTGTTAAAAGAATTTTAATTTGGTTTGGTTTAGGTATAATATATTTTATATATTATATCTAACTTTTGGAAACCTTTTGATTGTTAATGGAATTGGATTTCGATCTCGTGGACGTACCTCACATTGAGGAAACCACGTTAAAATTCTTGTGTTGCTTTTGATTTAATTTTTTCACTTTAATTTTTATTCCCATTAATTGATTTATTTGTAGAGAATCATATATTTTTCCTAACAATAGTCTTGTTTTCTCTCCCATATCTCCACCACCATTTGAGTGGTAAACAAGCATTCACTTCAGCTAAATCTCTCACCCCCAAGGAAAATATTTGAGGGCCATAATTTTTATGGCCACAAGGGCTCAAAATTGCCAAAACGACGTCGTTTTGAGTGCAAAATATGCCAAAACGACGTCGTTTTGACAGTTTTGAGCCATTGTGACCACAAAAATTGTGACCCTCTAGCATTGTTGTCTTTCCAATTAACTAAATGAACCTTCTTCTTAACTTCTGACCCACCCCATAAAATCACAAGTTTTATGTAAAGGCCGAAATCTATATTTTTATTAACCAGTATAACGACATCCAATACAAAACTGAATTACAATCTTCACTCAGATATTATTTATCAGAAGTTCTACAAACCTAGAAAAAAATACATAAAATCGCTCATAAGTTATAATCAAAGGTCAAAATTTATTTATACTATGGTCCTACAACAATAACTTTAAATATACACCCTTAATCTAATATTCTGGGCACTACTTTCATTAATTTTTCTGGGATCATAGACTTAATGATTATCTATCTAAAGAAAGAAAGCCATGGCAACAACACAAAACACGGTGAGAAAGAAACTATCAAACACCGGCACAGACGAAGAAGAATTAGGAGGCGGTGGTGGTGGCGGTGGGGTAGCTGTGGTGGTGCCTGCAGTGGCGGAGACGGTGATGGCTAATTTCTGCCCCAACTGACAGTGGGTGCCGACCGTGCAGATATAGTAGTTTTCGCCGGAGAAGGAGAGAGTGATGTTCGCTGGACCGGTGGTGATTGTGTTGCCAATAGGGTTAGCTGAATTGCAGGAGTTGTATGAGTCATTGGATACTTGTAACACATTATGTTGGTTAGTTGGGAAGTTGAAAGCTGCAAAAATCAAACAACACAACAAACTGAGAATTCAGAGAAAATTGTTTTCCCTCTGTTTGCAAAAGCAAAAGAGCACCTCAAAAAGTGATGAAATAAGTGTATAGCATTCATTCAAATGTAGTGCAGGGTAGGCTAGAGGTGGGTCGGCATCGGCCTACTAGGCCACACAATCTTATTTTTTCTAGACTCTGAAAAATTATTTTGGCTTATAGAGCAAAGGTGAGCTAGTATTGTGAGTTCATTTAATAAATGGATTAGGCTTGCGTTTAAGTATATAGCACGAACTAAACCCGGCCAGGCCTCCATGCACCTCTAGTGTATGCCACAACAAAATAAATTTAGTCTACACATTTCATTCTTCGATACGTTTTTTGAGTAAATAGAGTATTGCCTAAGAAAAACCAATATGGATACAAGTATAGACACGCAACATAATATTAAAAAAAAAAAAAATTGAATATAGAAATAATGATTATAAAAATAAAAATAAAAAAATATTTTTATGTACATGTGCATGCCTTTAGAGGACAGAAATATGAGAGCTATCTTGTATGTGGGTATTTTTATTCATGTTTTACTCTAATCTCAAATCTATGCTATAAAATTATAATTTGTTTCCTTTAACAAAGGTGTAATGAGGAATGTCTAGAAACAGGACACAAATTGTCCATGAAGTGCTGTGTAAGAAATAATAACTATTATTATTAAAAAATTGATGTGTTAGACAGGAAAACGCAAGTTTTTGTGTCATGGAGTGTCCGGCACGTGTTGAACATGATACGACACCTATCTTGAAGTGTATTGTGTTTTGTAGAATATTACTGAAGAAGAAGAGATGCAAATGAAAAGAAAGAGAAAAAAGAGAGATAAGGTTAAAAGAGACTTACTCAAAATGTCACCGACCGTGAAGTTCTTGTTAGAAGCCCATGAACTGTATGCCTGTGTATCATTTAAAGGCACAGTCCAATTTAAGCTGTCTCCAACCACATATACTGTTTGTGCTGCACCACTTTGCACCATAACTGCTGCAACAACACCAACCACCACCATGCTCATCAACCTATCCATATCTCTCTCTCTCTAGATATGTATATATATGTTGTCAAGTATTGGTAATGGTGGATGCCAAGGTTGAAAATTACAAGCTCCCTATATATAGACAAAGGGAAATGTTGTACCATATCTACCATATCACAAAATGTATAATTTTATCATAAAATTTCATAACATTAATTACAAAATGCGTAATCTCGTCATAAATTAGTGTAACAAAAATTGTCATAATCAAGCCATAAACTTTACAATATCAATCAAAAAAATTTGGACATTTTGTTTTGTCAATTTATGAAGAAGTTATGCATTTTGTAATTGATATTATGAAATTTTATGATAAAATTACATATTTTTATGATATAGTGTATATGGTATAGAACTTTTCATAAAAAAATTATAATCGAACATAATTTAATTATGGAATTAGAAAAAAACTATAATATATAATAAGAAAAAATTTAAGAACACAAAACTAGACACAATCTTTTTACATGAAAGGAACCTTATTTTTTATGAACTCTACACCTATGTAAAACGGTTGTGTAAAATATAATTCAATTTTTTTTATAACAGTATTATTAAAATCAGCAATGTTAGGTATCATGAAAATTATTTCATAATAATAATCATGAAAGTTTTTGACCCTTAGATTACACTTAGAATGAAACACCACACACTAATCAAGGTAATCCAATGATCATAAATCCTTCATGATCATTTTCATGAAAAAAATTTCATGATCCCTAAATTTTCTCTATTAAAATATATATGAACTTATTCGACCGTATAAATGTTAGGGATCGTGAAAAAAATATCATGAAGATGATCATGAAAGATTCTTCACCTTTGGATTATACATGCAATAAAATATCACAGACTAATCAAAAGATAAAAAAATTTCATGATACATTTCATAATATTTTTTTCATAATCACTAGTATTACTCATATATTAATTACCAATAGTGCTACACATCATAAATAAACATCATAAAAAATTTCATGAAACTAATCCAAAGGTGATTGCATAATATATAATAAAACACTATAAACATTATAAATTAATTTAAAGATGAAAAATCTTCATAAAAACTTTCCATAATATTTCTTTTATAATACCTAACATTATTGATTAGTGAAGGTTTAAAATTCTTAGACTAGTTTAGAGTTTCCCATGTCTATCCGAAGGGTAATATGTTAGCTCATGCATTGGCTCGAATGGCTAGGAGTTGCGGCTCTCGGCTTGTGTGGATGGAAGAGGTTTCAGATCAGAGTTCAGAGCCGCCTTTCGGGAGAGTTCTGATTTTGTGTAATTCTTTCTAATCCGTCACCATCTAAAAAAAAATTATTGTTCAACAATGCTAAGTAGTTCAAAATTTTGTAGTTTAAATGGCTCAAATCACTCAAAACGACGTCATTTTGAGTGTAAATGAGTGTAAAACGACGTCGTTTTGACAGATTTGAGCCATTTGAATCACAAAATTTTAAGCTACCAAATATTTTTTATTATTGTTACACTAGTCGGCTCATATTTATAAATCGTGGTCATATTTCTTACACTAGTATGTCGGCTCATATTTATAAAATGTGGTCAGAGATGGAATTAAGATTATATTATCAGAAAAAGTTCAAAGGAAAATAATTTCATCAGATATACAAATACATATATATATATATATATGTATAATATGATATATAGCCTATATTTAGAAAGTTGGGTTTGAGAATTTTTTTGACTAAAATAGCTACAAAAAAAAAAAAAACAAATAAAATACTTTGATGTTTTTTCAAAAAATAGCATACTTCACTGACAAAAAATAAAACAATGTCATCGTGTCCAATTTTTTGCCATACATTCTACATCGTAAACATGGCCATTCTCTTGATGTTAATCACTGAATTTCTATTGATCAACTAATGCAATTTTTAATAGGATGAATTTTTTTTTAATGCAAAATAGAAAAAGAAAATAGGATAGGAAAAAAATGAGATATATATATTTTTTATATTAATAATTATTTTAAGTAATATATATTTTTAAAATTTTACATTAAATAATATTTTTCACAGAAATAGAGACTAATATTCTCCTAATTCTGTCCCTGAAAGTGGCAGATGAAAGTGTGATCAAATGTGTACAAGGGTAAGTTTGATTTGCAGATGAAAGTGTGATCAAATGTGTACAAGGGTAAGTTTGAGGGACGCCGGTCCAGTTTGAATGGGATAAATTAAAGTTAGGAGACGACGTCAGCTGGGAAGTCCAAGGTTCCCAAAGTGAAAAGTTGAACCCAAACACACACTAAAAAATCAACTCTATTTTAGTTCCCTTTTTCTTTGTTTGTGTCCTGCGAAATCAATCAATTCACATTAGAACACATCATTCAACTCAATGGAACTTCAAATCAAAAGGAAAAACAAAAATCAATTGAAACTTGGGCTCATGAGTCTTTGGAGCGTTGATTAAGGTAGATTGATCTTGTCGTGTGTTGGGTTGTATTTATGCGGTATTATTTTTAAATGGGTAGGTATTAGTAAGTTTTGTGAATTAGACTTATTTATTAAAAAATTCTACTTTTAATTTGTAATTTTTTGAAAAAAAAATAAAAAAAAATCAACCGCTTATACTTTTCATATCATATTTCTATATAAACTAGCACAAATAAATTAAAATAAATCAAAACTCATAAATCAAAATATCACAATCATTTATTATTTTGATAAATTTATAATGGTTACCAATGTCAAATAATCATTCTACAAACATAAACCACTCTTATTATCAAAACAATGAGCAAAAAAGTAAAAAAAAAAAAAGAAAAAAATTCGCCTAGGACTTGTGAGTAAATAAGTCAACTCAATAGGATTTATTGGTGATTATCCATTTTTAAGAGTATATATTAAAATTATTTTAATATTAATTTAATTTATTTATTTATATTTTTTTATCATGTCATGTTATTTTCCATCTGTCTTATTTATGACTTATGTGTCCCGTAAAAAAAAATTCACTTTTAGTTAAAAATATTATGAGAAATTGAACTTTTGATTAAATTAAACCAACAATTTCCTTCCCATTTGATGAAATTACAAACACCTTCCTTCATGTTTTTAAAATGACAAGAACCTCCCTTGTCAAGTTTATCAGGTAGGTAGGTGTTAAAGAAATTGAAAATTACTATTTCATCCCTCTATATTAGTAATTTATAATTAAACACAAATTACACAATACCAATAAATTATCGTCACCTCATTAATTCAATAAAAAAATATTGAACTTAACCTAGCAGATAGCTATGTTTATATATAATAAAAAAAATTAAAAAAAGAAAAAAACCCTTTTGCTACCGGCAATATGTATAATAACACTGTTACGATCGATATTGTTTTCATTACATGTTATGTTATCATTATATTGATAACATGTGTGTGATGGGATTTATTAAAGTAATACAATGGTAACACATAAAAAATGATAAACAATAGTTTCAAACTATATTGTCTTTTAATCATAGATATTGAAAATATTTATCTTTACACATATAAGAGAAAACCAAAAAATAAACTAAAATTATTTGATGACCTCAACAAAATCCGTTAGACATGTTAAGGATCAATTAAATGGAAGGGGATATCTGAAATTTAAAGATGAACTAGTTGGGAGGTTTTTTTTATCATTTTAGAGACCTCGAGGGAGATTTCTATAATTTTGTTAAATCTTAAGGAAGGGAGGTTAGCATAAGTTATCCCAATTTTATTCCTATAAGTTAAATTTAATAAAACTAATTATTTATAAATATATTTAATTTCAACTCAATTTCATTTCTCTAATTTTAATATATTTTTTTTACTAGATTAACTTTAAAACAGTAGAAGAAATACAATATCTTCAATCAAAAGCAAAACAAAAAAATTATATTAATTTTAAAATCTTATTTTACATATTTTTTTAATTAGCTGGATGGAGTTATGTAAAGGATTTGAAAAATGTCTTCGCATCCTTTAATAAAAATAATATTAAAATGTGTAATTAATTTTTTATTATACAAATTTTTTTTATTAACTTTGTGTTATGTAAATTCAGCACTAACTTAATTTATTTAATATCCATATTATATATCTAATTGTGTTTTATTCACAATCCTATTAAAAAATAATTGACCTTAATTCTCTAACTTCGTATATAACTCAAATCATTTGATGTCCAAAATTTTAATATTTACACTTGGCTTCATATATGGTTATGTAAAAGTCCTTAATTGACTACTAGTAGACAAAATAGATGATTTTTCACAAATAAATTAATTAATAGGAATAAAAATTAATGTAGAAAAATTAAATCAATAGCGATACAAGAATTTTCCTTAGTTTCCTCAATATAAGGTATGTTTACGGGATCGAAATCTAATTCTACTATCAACAGAAAAGTTTTCAAATGATTACAAACGAGACACGAATGATCTCACAAAATTATCCTTAAGTAAATTTCAAATAATTATAAATAAATAAGAGACAAAACCTCACCAAATAGATAAATAAAAATTATCGATTCAAAATAATAGACCTAAATCAAACACGAAGTGACTGCCGAAACAAATCCAGGGAGGTAAATTCTTCCAAGCACTACCACACAAAACCAAACAGCAGCATTATCACTCGACCAAATTCTTGATTCCACCAAATTGAATTTACAAGTCTTCCACCGCCGCTGCACGCTCGGAAATATATATCTAAAAATATAGTGAGATTCTTGAACTTTTATCAAAATTCTAGTTGTTACTAAATTGAATATTAAAATATACATTGAACTTCTAAAAGTTAGGTATAATATACTAAAAATATATTATAACTAACACTAAATTAAATTAAATATTTTAATAAATCAATTGAGTCTCATACTCCAATAAGGAAGTATACTTAACAATTCTCCTCCTACCGACTTAGATGGAGACATCAATCATACCCGTCAAAGTTTGACACTTCAAATGTTTGTCCCTCGACATCAAGCATCGGTTTACCATCCCCAAAACACAAACACACCTTCGAAGTCCCTCAAAGATATCTTAGAATCCACTTCACCACCGCCCAAT